CATACTTGCCTTTACTTTGAAAGGAGCCAAGAGCTTTTTCTTGTTTAGGAAATAAAACATTAAACCTGAATTTAAGAGGAAAAAAATTAAGCAATAATACAAATCTTTGATATCTGCTTATAATTTTCATAATTTTTGTAAAAATTATATTTATTCTCACATACAACATGTATACACACACAAAAATTTGCATTTAAGATTGGTCACAAATTACATTTGAGCTAAATGTTTTGTTTTTGTTTTTTTTTATTTATTATTCCAGGGTTTTGTGAGGGTACAAACATTGTAGTTACACTTTATGTCTTTGCCTCGCCCAAAGGCATGCCCTTCCCTCCCTTTAGTGCTCCCCATGTCCTTTAGTTGTAGATTTGCCCTCCCATTGAGCTAAATGTTTATATAATTTACCAGGTGTGCCACGGAATCACAAAACTGAAAGTTTTTCCTTTTCTAACAGTAAAAGCAGTTCAGAAATACCAGAGTAATAAAATTATTGTGGAGAATGAAAGGTTGTTGCTTCTTTAATACCAAATCTACCTTTTATCCATTCCCCCTATTTGTTAAAGTTAAAATCCTTGATACTACTTAACCTTCTGAAGTATCTTTTCTTTATATTATATCTTTTCCCTATAAGAAATCAGTTCCATTTTATCAGAATAAGTCAAAAGTCCCTCTGCACATACCACAAACAAGAATATTAGCAGTCTTATCAAGAAGTTTTTGCACATGAATACAGGTGTATTTCTTAAACTAACAAAAAAAAAATTTTCCTCCTAGAGATAAGCACCTGCTATTTATAAAGACATGAGCCTAAGGTCAAATAAACTATTTTCAGCACAGATCTATGGGCACTTTTGGATTACCGTGTATTTATATCCTTTATCTTCAACACCTCTGTGAAGTAAATAGGAGCAAGTGATGGTATCACCATTTAACATATAGATAAACTGTTTGACAGAGAAATCATGCGTATCTTTTCAGGACCAGGTTGAAATTGAACCCCACTTTCTTAACAGCTGATCTTGAAGTTTAAAATCAAGAGTAGCTACTTAAAATGCATAATAATGTTGGCTGGGTGTGGGGCTTGCACATGTAATCCCAGCACTTTGGGAGGCCAATGAGGAAGATGGCTAGAGGGCCAAGAGTTTGAGACCAGCCTAGGCAACATTGCAAGGCCCCAACTCTACAAAAAAAAAAAAAGATGTTTTTAATTAGCCAGGCATGGTGGCACACACCTGTAGTCCTAGCTACTCAGGAGGCTGAGGCAGGAGATTACTGGAGCCCAAGAGTTCGAGGCTGCAGTGAGCTATGTTTGTGCCACTGCTCTCCAGCCTGGGCAACAGAGTAACCTTGTCTCTAAAACAACAACAAAGAGCAACATCAAAATACAATAATGTTAATTTAATGAAGTACAGATTAGACTTAAATGATTTGTTATAGAAAATTTTATTTTTAGAATAACAGTATTCCTTCCCTTTTCTGCTTTTGCAGAAAGTAGAACGAAGCAGGATTAGTGGCTAATTACATTGCTGTGATTGCCGCACCTGTGTGTTATTTCTTTTGATTGGCTAGTTCTGTATTAAAGATTCTTACCAGCTCAAAGTCTCCTTCATCAGATGGTTTTTATTAGCTAATTTTGGCTTAAGTTGTTTTAAAATTACAACAAAAACCTTAATTCAACTTAGACTTGTACTTTAAATTCTTGTTCTAAATTTTTTTTGTTAGTTTACCTTTTTATCATCCTACCCCTTTCAGTTTTTTAATTTCAATGGCAACACACACAGTGGGAATATAGCTTGAGTTGTCCTATTGTTGCTAGCCATCAAGTTTATGTATACCACTCAATGCATAGGTACTAATAACTCTTCCCTAGAGAGCTGTCTTTTAAGGAATAAATGTCTAACCTCTTATAAGGAGATACAGGAATTAACTCCTGGATTATGGCTACAGTTGCAGATGCTAACAGCACTGTTTGGAACTTTATCATCTAGATCACAAAAAGCACCTTGTTGTGGACTAAGAACTATGTTTTAGGTAATTAGAGTTTATTATTGTATATCCCCTTAATATATGTTTTCCAAAGTAAAAAAGGGAAAAGATATAAGTCTTATAGGTTGAGTTGGTTTGTTTTCATGTTGTTTTGTTTGGCTACATCACACTTGGAAATTATAAAGAACATGTAGCTGTTAGAAGGTAAGTTACCTTAGACTATAATTATTTACCAAACAATGTTTTCTGAAGATAAGCCCCCAAAAAGGAAACTTCAGACATTAGCCTGCCCTAATAAGCGATGAGTGCTGTAGTTTTAAAGTCAATTGTTAAGGATTATTAATATTTCCCTTCACTCTACCACCTACACTTGAACTTTTAAAAAATCATTTTAGAAAGCATTGTTTTCACTAATGAAGATTTATAATTTTGTTAAATATGTGTTTTTATACAAAATGAATGTCATATCTGAATAATTTTAGTTTTGTGCAGCTAGGTATTAGGGTTTCTTCAGAATTTTAAAAACTACCTTTTGTATAGCAAAGTAGAATTACCCTCCAAAAATGTTTTATCTAAAAAATCATTTTCTTCAATGAATTTACTCCAGTAAAAATATCTTCCTTGCTTTAGAAACATTAACATTTGCTTTCTTTCTGCCTGATTTTTGTATAAATTCTAAATATAATAAGATAAAGTAAAATATTTCATTTATAGGCCCTCTGAAAGTAGAGCATTTTAAAAGCAGGTAGGTGTCTCCACCCTACTTTTCATGAAGCGTTTTACCCATTCAAGCAGACTTTTAAAAACAGCTTGTTTTGATAGCAGACTGTTCTCCTGTGGGCCTTCAGCCTTTGCTTCCTGGCAGCACCTTTGGTGCGAAAAGAGAGTGATCAATTGGGAGACTATCAGTGCCAGCATGCATAGAGTGATAAGTTAACACACCACTGGGAATTTCTAGGGCCCACCAAGATACTTCACTTCTAATGTGCTAACAAGCTCATTTTTCTACCTCTTGCCTCTTCAGTTATTTTTTTTCTCAGAAGAGCTTAGAAGTTGAGTGCATCAGGCATAATGAAAAGCTCTGTAGGAGGGAGAAGCAATAACCCCATTTTTCCCTTTTCAGCCAAATAGAAAATTAGTTTCTGGTAATACACAAAGGCCAGTATTTTTTGTACAAGGGGCACTGCTGTGAATCAAAGGACTCTATTAACTGCAGAAAATTCAGCAGCTGTGAATCTCCCCCAATGAAAAAAGTACTTCCAACAAGTTGTGAGATATGTGGTATTATTTAGATTGAACCATCAGTTTCATCCTCTTCCCTTTATAACCATATACCCCCTTTAAAAGTGTGCCGTCTTACTTTTCTGTGTTGACTCCAAAATGTCTATATTATCCTCCCATGAAATCCTTACCACTGATCATTTTAATATAGCATCTTGTCCTGTTGCTATCCCATTTCAGAAGTAAAATTCTTTTGAAGTTCAACCCCAATGTATAGAATTGAAAATAATGAGTTGCCAGGAATTGAAATTCAGGCTTATTTCAATATTTGATGCATAAAAGACATTGTAATATACGAAGAGAGTACACAAGCCATTTAGAGGGCAAAAGGTGTCACAAAGTCAGGTGCATAATGAATATCGTCTTACCTTTAACTCTTATGCTTTTTTTCCTCTTCATAATAAACTCTTGTAAATATAATTGGCCATGGTATCTCCCATTGAATCATCATTTTAAATTATCCTTGTCTCATTATTTTTTCATTTTTGGTCTTTGTTGTAGACTTGGTCTACAATTTCTAGAATTGTAGAACTATAGTAATTGAATTGCAATTTTAAAAAAAGAATAAGGAATTTTGAGGAGAAAATAAAAAGGGTTTTAGAAAAACTCAGTGAAAAAAGAATAGGCAAATTTTTATTATCCTTATTTAAATGTCTTATGTAAAGCCTGTCAACATAAGCATACTACGTACAGCAGGAAAACTTTTAAAAGTTGTAGCAGAAAGGTTAACTGATTTCTCAGTTCAGGAACTATACGACATGAAGTCAGCATGTGAGTTTTTCCTGATAATTGTATGTTGCTGCCTGCTGCTCTGCATTTTGACAGCCATTTCCATAGTTGCTTTCGTGAACAACAGAAATATTCTCTCTCTTTCTCGCCCTCTCTGTGCTAACAGCACAATCAGGCCTGCTGAAACAGGAAGCCTGGAGTGGGTTGTTCAAAAGCAACAACACTTCAAGGTACTGGTTGCTTGTCAATAATATCAGAGGAGAAAATGTGGTGAAAGGAAAGTACAGTATTTTTCTGTCAGTGTCAGTGCCCTGTAGATGCTTTGTTAGACAGTATTTAGGAGTCCTGTGGACTCTTTGCAAATATTCCTGCATGTTTCAGTGTTATAATTGACTAGGTATTTTTTCCTGACATACAGATTCAGCTATGTATTTATCTTAGCTGCATGGAGTTATTCAAGGATTACAGCAACAGTAGTCTTCCATTCAAAATGAGAACAATTGCTGAGAAAATACAGGGATTCTAGAAAAAGAAGAAGATATATAGGAATTTTTTACAATAAATCTTTACAAATGAAAAATATATAATTTTGGACATAGTATTTTAAGCAGCATTATAATATTCATTATGTGGCTTTTGAGAGTAAATCTGCAGATGGAAGCTGATTAACAAGATAAGATGAGCCTAGGCTGACCTAATAGCAGTTGAATCCTTTCTTAACTGTTAAACTTCCTTTATTTCAACAGTTTGGTGTTGTAATTATTTTTTAATAAATATCTCCTGGTTAAGTTGTCATGTATAGTGGGTTTGTGAAGAGTAAACTTAGGTTAAAAACTATACTTTTACAATTTAAAAAGCCATACTGTTAATGATATGCAAAAATAATTAGTGAATAATTATATTAAGAAGTAGTGGCTTAGCAATCATAGTAGTCCTTTTTTATAAGATCTGTTCTTTTCCAGTATAAGCTGGATTTAAATTTATCCTTAACTGAAGGAAATCAGCTATGAGGAGAGAGCACGGTACCTGCAAACAATTGTCCAGCACCATTTAGAGCCAACAACCTTTGAAGATTTTGCAGCACAGGTTTTTTCTCCAGCTCCCTACCATCATTTACCATCTGATGCCGGTAAGATTAAAAACAAGTTTTAGTTACTTGTTACTGGAACTTGAAATGCAATACCCTTTTGTTCTAAAAAACTTGCTTGAATACAATTCTAATCATTGAAATATGAATATTTTTATCACTATTTAATATCTGAATTTGGCCTGAAAATTTGACTTACACTTTCTTTTACCTAAATGCAATTCCTTAGAAAACCAACAATCTTCATAAAAGTACATGCGCATTTTATCTGAGTCAGTGACTCTTGTATCTCATGAGATCATTACTAAAGTATCTGCAAAAGAAACACAAGCTGAGCATGCACTCTCAACTTTAGAGGATCAGATTTTATTTCCAAGAATATTGCCTCATCATCTCTAATTTTATAAATAAAACTAAAATACCTGGTCTAGATTGAGAAGTGCTTAACATAGTAAATTATGTTACAGTGATTAACGATTGTAAGAGGGTACTGCATTTTTACAATTAACTAATTTTGAAGAAATCAGTAAGAAAATAAATGACTCGTGGCCTTCCTATTCTGTAATATCTTGCACTCCTTATGATTGTTTCATTTATTTTATTTTCCCTCTTTAGATCATTAAATATCAGTTCTGTTTATCTGAAGGTAAGACAAAGTGTCAACCAAAACACCCTCTGTTCTTCTCCCATTTCCTTTTTTCAAAATTAGCAAGCTCTAAGCTTGTAACTCAACAGTAAGCAAATTTAACACTGTCCTGGTTCATACTAAACATTTCAGAAATTGTCACTAAATTTTTTTCCAGAATTATATTGACTAACCCAGGTCTGCATGAAACACTAACATGGTTTGGGGATAAAAATAACTAATAATAGAACTCTTTGGTTGAAATTAGTTACACCTTGTTATATTGACCTTTTTTGTTTGTTTGTTTCTCAGCATGAAAAAGTAGTACTCTTGAACTGAAGTAGTGTGTCTTTGTATTTTGTAATGTGTTGCATTGTTATTGGATATCTTAACTCATCAAATGGTTATTCTCTGTGTGCCTTGCACTGTACTAGGCACCGGAAATACAAAGATGACTATTGTAATGGTGTTCAAGGGAAGCAGGAAGAGAGCATGATATATTTGAAGGTCATCATTATAAACCTTCAAATTCTCTTTGTTAAATAAGTTTTCTGTAAGTTTAAAAGGCACAGGACTCCTTTTCTAGCCTATTTGAAAAAAAATTACTGTAATTCTCAATTGAGGTTTAGTTAGTGAAGTTAAGGCTTCCATTCCTGTCATCATTAAATTACCATTAGAAAATAATTTTGCCAGAAAACTTTGATCCCCCTTCAATTAATATAAAAGACCTAGCAAAAAGAAAATCATATTTACTAGCTTGAATTTTTTGAAAAAGATAAAAGTCTAATATTTGTTTTAATCGATTGACACTATCTAAAATTACTCAGTTTGGCATTAAGAAAGATGGTAGAAGAAAGATACTTAAAGTAAATTAGTGAACAACAAATAAAAACTAAATATACCTGGCAATTTCATTGTTTAATAATAGATAATATCAGGCCGGGCGCGGTGGCTCACGCCTGTAATCCTAGCACTCTGGGAGGCCGAGGCGGGCGGATCATTTGAGCTCAGAGTTTGAGACCAGCCTGAGCAAGAGCAAGACCCCATCTCTACTAAAAAAAAAATAGAAAGAAATTAGCTGGACAACTTAAAAATATGTATAGAAAAAATTAGTTGGGCATGGTGGTGCGTGCCTGTTGTCCCAGCTACTCAGGCGGCTGAGGCAGTAGGATTGCTTGAGCCCAGGTGTTTGAGGTTGCTGTGAGCTAGGCTGACGCCACATCACTCTAGCTAGGGCAACAGAGTGAGACTCTGTCTCAAAAAAAAAAATAATAATAATAGATAATATCAGATAAAATATCAGACTATATTAAAATAGATATGAATGACACTTCTGTGTATCATATAGGTAAGCCATAAATTTCACAACTGAAAAATATTGATAATAGAACCACATTTGGACTAATTTTTCCCCTTAAATTTATAAAGCCTGTTTCATGTTGTAGTTGTTTACCAGCTGGAGTGCTTCATATTTGTCATTTCCCATTTTGCATTTATCCTGTACATTCAGGTATATAATATGGAAAGTAAGTATTCTCTCTAAGTATATAGTATGGAAAGTAGTATTCTCACTTTCTGAGATATTAGGTAAAGGATGCTCCAGCAGCCAGGTGAAGGCTTAGTTGGCTTCATTTTTACTGTATCATACTAAATTATTCTATAAGTTGTTTAAAATAGCACTTATGATTATCTAAATAACAAAAATGTGAATTTGAACATAATATTGTGCTACAAATTTTTTTTCAGTTAATTTTTTTAAATTGCCTTTAGGCACCATTAGACACATGGACTCTAATTTTCAAAAAGATGTTTTTACTTATAAATAACTCATGCCACTATTGCTGAATACATTTCTATATAAGTTTTTTGCAGACTTTAATACTTATAACAGAAGTTTTTTTTGTTGTTGTTTTTTGTTTTTTATTTCAGCATATTATGGGGGTACAGATATTTAGGTTACGTATGTTGCCCTTGCCCCCCTCCCCAATAACAGAAGTTTTTATCAGAGTGGTTCTTAGTTCAACACAATAAAATGAAATATGTACTACTATGGTAGCAAAAATATTATGGAATCTGAAGAATAATTTTCTTCCAATTATCTCAAATCTTTATTTTTCTGTCATAAACCAAATCCATACATACAGAGCTCCCCTTAAAGTTAAAAGTCAAAGTGGGACAGAAAAAACATAAAATAAGCCATGTAATAACGGTTTAGACCTGACTTCTGGTTTGCAACAATGATATAATAGTGTCACTTTTTTTAGGCACATTTTTATTTTTTTAAACAATGATAAAATTTGCTTACCACATTGAGGAAATGGATTCATAATTGCAATTGAGAATCAGCTTTTGATATCCTACGCATACCCTGTATATATAAAATACCTAATTAATGCTAATGTAATAATTTCAAAATTAGGTTTTAAAAAATAACAGTAGACAGGGCGCTGTGGCTCACGCCTGTAATCCTAGCACTTTGGGAGGCCAAGACAGGAGGATCGCCTGAAGCCAGGAGTTCTAGAACAGTCTGAGCAACGTAGCAAGACCCTGTCTCTACAAAATCTAGAAAAATTAGCCTGGTTGTGATGGTGCATGCCTGTAGTCCCAGCTACTTGGGGAGGCTGAGGCAGGAAGAGCACTTGAGCCCAGGAGTTTGAGGTTGCAGTGAGTTGTCATGATGCTACTGCTCTCTAGTCCAGGCAATAGAGCAAGACCCTGTCTCAAAAAAAAAAAAAAATGCCAGTACAATGATTATATTCTTTCTTACCACCCTGTAACACAATTCTATTCAGTGGAATAGTATAGAAAAATACTATTTTTTAAAAATTACTTAATTTGGTTCAAGATTATTTAAAAGCCACTTTGTGGTTAACTGTAGTGTACCAACTTATGATGACATTTCAGTCCAAGAAAGGATTTTTTTATATAACTTTCAGTATTATTTAGATGGATACGAAAGATTTTGGTATATCATAGTTCCATAAATTTCATAACTGTATTTTCTCAAAATGTACTGTCTGTGGCAGTAGACTGATACTTAAGGGAAATTATTTTTATCCCTAAGGTCATTGAGGGAAATATTGTGATGTCACATTTTGTTGATCTTCCATAACTACATTAAAATATTATTAGATTTTTCTTGTCTTTTATTTTTAAAATATTACAGGAAAAAATCCCTTTATCTTTGTCAGGCATGTGTGTGGAAAATATCAAAAGTTTTACAGTGACTTTCTTTAACTTTTTTTTATATTTACAAACACCTCTCCTCTAACCATAAACTTCAAAGTGAAATTACTCTTTTTCTTGGCCAAATTATAGTGGTCATTCAAAATGTACAGATTTTTTCCTAACGTTAAATTGTCTTTTTACATTTTGTGATAAATTCTAAAAAGCCCACAAGAAACAGGATTCTATTTTGTTGGAAGTGTACAGTAAATATTAATGGGTTTGTCTTTCTCAGTTTGAACATTAAAAATACACTCATAATTTTTACCAGCATTCGTTCTTTTTTACTATCACCACCCAGAAATATTTTTGAATGCCTATTGTGTGGTATATCTAGAATTACCTCTGATACCTATTATTCTAACTTAGCTAGCAGATGCCTTCCTTTAAATTGTTTTTCTACAAATTAAGTTAGAGATTTTAGTTCTTTAACAATTAAAGGATTGTTGCTTGTCCCCCCCGCTTGCGTGTGTGTGTGTGTGTGTGTATACACATACATAAATACCACTTTTCATAATTACCTTTAGAAAATATATTTCTTATTTAATGGAATATTATAAACATTAGGAAGATTTAAATATAATTTCTATGTCATCAAAATCAGGGATAATCTAGAGTGACTATGAAGACCTAGAGTAGCATGTAATCTACCTTCTAACTTCAGTTTTGCTATTACTTCACAAAATGTGTATTGTCATATATAGATGGGATAGGATTTATGATGGACAGATCTCTCTCTCAATCTTTGAGTGTGATGGATCAGCAAAATTTAGCCATCACGTTAGGTAACCTTTGTTAGCTCAGTATCCTTCTTTAAAAGTTATTTTAAACTTACCAGGCTTTGAAATGACCTGAAAGAAAATATTTTAGCCCCTTAGAAGATAGTTATTTTATACATATTCTAAATATTATTGTGCATGCCAATAGGAAAATTAGTTTCCTGCAATACATAACATAAGCTATAAATTTGTTTATTTAATGTTTTTAAAAACAGGTTCCTACTCCTTTTTTTTTTATCACCAGGTTAGCCTGAAATTATAGGCAGCCAAATATGTTCTGATTAGTACTTTAAACTTGGAAATTTGGTTTATATGTTTTTGATTAAGAGACAAATATCAATCTGAAATAACGTCCACTAACCTTTGTGACAATAACTACTAGGTTTCAGTTTCCACATAGAACATTCATCCAGATATGAAATTTTTGTAATGAAAATAACAAAATAATAATTGAGCAATTACTGAGTGCCAGGCACTATTCTAGGTACTGTACAAACATTTTTTCATTTAAGCTTCATGGTAGTTCTATGAAATGTAAAAGGAAAAAAGCTTAACCAGAGTCACCTGGTACTTGGTAAAGCCAGTATTCCAACAAAGTCCCGACTTCAGAGTGAATGATCTTAACTATTACAATACCCATTTAGTCTAAATATTTTCATCCATTTCTTGCTGTTGACAGAGGGGACAAAGAAAGAGATATTGCCCAATAACTTGTCATATTTACAAATTAGAATTATTAAAGATTTTTATTTTGAGGGTTCTACTTTTGCCACCCATTAAAAAAATCTTTTTTTGTTTGTTTGTTTTTTAATAGCTTTAAGGTTGCCAGGGGAGAAGTACGGGCTTTGGAATCAGACCAATCTGGATTCAATCCTAGTTCTGCCATTTATTATTCATATAAACTCTTATCTATCCTACACCCAGTTTTCTCATTTGTAAGAAGGGAGGTATAATAAGACAAGCTTAGCCTGATTTGTTCTAAGTCTGCAATAGTAGTTGAGTATGTTAAAATGAAGCCACTTGTTTGCCTGTATTTATGAACGATTTTAAATTGTGTTATTATTTTCCTTATGACAGTGCTATATCCATTCTAATCTTAATCACTTATCAACTCCTTTCACAATATTAAACAGTAAGGTTATTGGGTACTCTGTAACCCTTAATATAAAGTTAAGTTTTATATCAACATAAGAAAGGATAAATTATTTCCCCCAAACTAAACTTAATGGTATGTTGTACTCTCCACATTTGAAGGATCATATTTTGTAGGTGATCATTTTCTTCAAAAATATAATTTGTTTCCCTTCCTTTCTTCCTCATCTGTTCTGACTCAAAGTCTATTAACTTTTCTGTGTATAATAGCTTTATTATATAGCTACACTTATTGTGCACCTGCTGTGTGCCAGGAACTTTGCATCTGTAGTCATTAATCCCCACAACAGCTTTGCAAAATAATTATTATCTCCATTTTACAAATAAGAAAATGTCTCAAGTTAGTTTAGTTTGCCCGAGATCAAACAGCTAGTAAAGTGACAGATTTGGAACTTAGTCCATGACTGTCTAATCCATGCCCATGTTCTAACACATCACATTATCTCTTATTCAATATTAATTGAAATTGCTTTCAATTAAAATAATTGAAATATTAATTTGAAATTGCTTTCAAAGTTACAATATTTTAAAAGGCTATATTTACTCAATAACTGGAAATTTTAAATTGGTTATGCCTGTCACCAAACAGTACAAACAAAATCATAATAAATAACAATCCTTTGAATTCCCTTTTATAATCTATTTAGATCCCCAGTCATATTCATCATGTTATTTGTAATAGTTCATTATAATCAATATGCAATATATCAATTTATTATACCATCAAGATATATACACAGTCTGTGTGAGCACTGTTAAGAGTGTTAGTAGCAGATATAGTATACACAAATATATGCTCCCCTAGATACTTTTAAAACTTTATTCTTGAGGATATATTAATAATAGAAATAATTAAATAAATCAGCATTCTTTATAACACCAGTAGTCTAAATCAATAATTAGGCAGAATAGAATATAAAATGAAATGTAGCTATCACTGTATTCTTTATGTCTAAAATTGAGGTCTGTCCACTGTAAAATATTTACAGAGTTTGGGTATGTTAAGTATATACCACAAATATCATTAACTAAAATGGGAGAAGGTACTGGTAATGATACACCACACACACTAAAAAGCCTAATTTGAGTCTCAGTTGACTGAAGGGGATTTCACTTTGAAGGCATTAAGGCAGACATGAGGAATTGTTTTTGAGGAAAGTATTCTTTTGAGTTTGGCATACTCAAACAGTGCTCTCCCATAAAACTTTCTATGATGATGGAAATATTCTGTATCTTCACTGTCTAGTATAGTAGCTACTAACCACATGTGGCTATTAAATGAAATGTGGCTAGTATACCAAGGATCTGAATTTTTACTTAATTTTAATGTAATTTTAATGTGGCTACAGCTACCATATTGGACAAAGCAACACTAGAGATTTTGTGACTGAGTGGTTAGGATAATATGGTAGCAGTATAGTGAACACTTTGAAAGGTAGATGTTTATAGAATCTCTCATAGAATTTTTTTCTTCTTTTCTTTTTTCCTATTTGAACTTGTTTTGTTAGTTGGTAAGTATAACATTTGAATTTACAAAGCATTGTCTGTTGTGAAACATCATCACCCTAGCTCATTGCATGCTGAATTATATTTCACAATAAAAACCTGATTACTTTCTTCTCTGCTCCTCAGTTAACACCTGTAAAATTCTGCACTGTGTCTCTCATATTTGTTATCTATCTTCTCTTTTGTTTTCTCACTTCTGCTCGCTACTCCATTTCTTCATTCACAACAAAGAAAGAAATGCAGTCATAGTTCTCTTCCTCCCAAAACCTCCGCTAGAAAACATTGGCCATCTCAAGGTAAACAGCCATGGGAAAGCCTCACATGATGGCCGGGAATAATATGCATTACCAGAAAAGCATGAGCTATTGCTCTTCACCTTCATTCTGCCATCCATCTGCAGTGCTTCCCTAAAAGGGGCCATGGATTCATATTCGCCTCTAGATTTTCAAGTATGTGTCCACTATGAACCAATTCAGATCTTCAGGAAGAGTCAAGGTGAACAGAAATATATTTCCTTCTCCTTAAGTTTTGAAGGCCAATCTCATTTTCCATTAGAAAAGAAGGTTGGAGAAGTTACTTTTGAGAAGGAGGACGATTGACCTGGATTATGAGTAACAGTGTTTTTCCTTGGCAGTATATATTTGTTCTTAAGTATAATATTTGGCCTTAAAAACACTTGAAATGTTCTACAGATGCATTCTTAATTGTTTAAGACACCTGAATAGAATCTGTACCCCTTATTGAATTTCTTTGTTTCTCCTTACAAATATTCATAACTTCAATTTAAGCACAAATCTTTTCTTATATGGAAGTGCTAGCATACTTATTTCCAAGTTTGAAGTGTCAGTGAGCTGCTGCTGCATTGGCTAACAAATATTCCAAAAGACTCCCTAAAATAAGGAGATTTCTAAATTTAAGCCTGAAACCTATGTACTGTTTTTGTTTGTTTGTAACACACATAAAGAAAATTTTCATGTACTTAAGACCCAGAAAATCTGGATTAAAGTGCCTTAAAATATAGAGAATTTTTATTTTGTTATTCTGTTTGCAGATTTTTTTGTTTTCTTATGAAGGGCTTTTATTTTTAATGTAATGTCTTAATTCAGAAAATATTTGAGAGCCTATAATGTGCAAGGTTCTGAAGTATTGGTGTACATTAGAGAATCATAATTCATAGAAATAAAGTACAGAGGTAAAAAACTACTTTGTAAATGACATGCAGAATTTTCCTATTTGATTTTCTTTTGCTTTTAAAAGTTTATGTCTACTAATTCTACTGGTTACCTACTTTCTATGACTGAATAGTGTAACTGCAAAGGTGTAAATTAATGAAAACAAAAGCATTGTTTATCTCTCATAAATTAAGACATTTTGCAGAGTCAGTCTGCCTTTTTTGACTGACTTTCAGATAAGAATTCTTGTCCTTCCCCCCGCCCTAGGAATTTATCTTACTCCTTTTTAAAACCATATTTAAATACCTTGCATGTATAATGGTCTCATCTCATAGTGCTGAGTTCCTTTTTGGAATTTTTGGTTCTCAGACTAGTGCTATTTTTCAAGTTTAAGCAGTGAAGGCCCTATTCATGGTTATACCCTGAGTCCTAGAGATAGGAATTGGTACTTCTCACCTGCTTCTAGATCCCTTCCCTGCATGCTAATGGTGCTTTGCATCCCTGTTCTTTCTGGCCCAAAGATTTTCCTTCCCATTGCTTTTTCCAAGGTTCTGGGTCTGGGGATGATGATTGGCACTTTCTTGCTAGTATGATGACATGAGCCACCAGATCCCTGAGTTTTAAATACATTAGTAGGCTGTTGTAACAAGCAAGTTTGGGGCTCGGTTTTTCCCCTCAAAAGATCTCATTAAGAGATGGGATCCTTGCTACAGATTAGTAGCAGAAAGGTTATTTCTTAGGGGTGAGAGGCTGGATGACTGTACTAATTCTCTTGCTGTTTCCTACAGGCTCCTACCCAGAGATTCTACCCAGTGAAACTCCCACAGCAACGCAGGTAGATGGGGCTGACCTGGCCTCTCCAATGTCTCCTCGAACTAGCAAAAGCCGCATGTCCATGAAGCTGCGTCGTTCCTCTGGCTCAGCCAATAAATCCTAAGGAGACAAGCAGCCCAACAACAGTGATCAGCAGTAGCCACCTTAGCGCAGATCATAGGGTTAACTCTTTCAGGCCTTCATGTCTGCCATAACATGCATGTTTCTTCTTGTACATTTGAGAAAACACTGGATTTAAATAATTTGTAGCTTAATATTTTAGATTTGGGTTATTTATTGTTTGTTTTTATCCCCACACTCCAAGCTGCCATGTTTTCAGGGGGAGGAGTTTTACTGTACACCCTTTACCTTCCTAGATAATTATGTCTAAGTAGTTTTACCTTTAATTTCATGATTAACTAGCCAAAAGATAATTGGACAAATATTCTCATTATTTTATTTATTGTGCCTAATTGCAACTTTATGGCTCAATAAATATAATTTTTTTACAAATATAAAATTTTAAATTTAAGCATTTGTAAAGCTATAGCAAAAGTTGCAAATCTGTTAATACACAGGATATGTACAGACTATTTATGTTATGAAAATAAAACACTCAAATGGTCTTTTAGCATCTCAAATTCCAACTGAAATAATTTTAGTATTAACTTTTTCTTCCCAAAGCAATGTCTCATCTCTTGGCTGTGCAGGTGATGCCCTGGTATATCCAATAACTAGAAAAATCAATCAGTGTGCTGAACTTTAATTTATGTTTAGCTTCCATATATTTTTCTAATATTTTGTTTTTTAAGTGGTATCACTGTTAAATGCCATTTCTGTTTTGAGATTGTGGCCCTTTATTATTGGCTGCTAGATCCTGGTGTATCTTTGTTCTTTCTTGAGTACCAAAAAAAGGGGGGGAGAAAAGAAGGAAAAAAACTTTTCTGATATAAATATGTTGCTCAAATTATGTATATTATTGAAAAAGAAAAGGAAACATGACCCAGGAGTCTTATGTTAAATCTAATATTGTTAATACTGAACTTGCAGGTGCAGGTTGGTATACATTCCACACTCCAGAAATATTTTCCTACAGTAAATAAGCTACTCACATTTCGTTTTGAATGGGCATCTCCTAAGGAAATGTAGCATGATGTCGGTACTAACTGCATGTGTAAATACATCATACTGGCAAACCATAAAATATAAATTATGTATCATCATTCACATAGCATCTACAAATTTGTAACAGTGGGGAAAAAAGATGACATGGTATTTAATAATACAATAAAAATATTCTTATCACTTCCTGTTCATGAGTGTTGATTTGTCCTCTATAGTTCTTATTTACAGACTCAATAAGCAGGGCTGAATGATTAATGGGGAGATGGAAAGCATGAACCTAGGTTATCTTAGCTAATCATGAAAAATGAATTTGAATTCCTTTCTCAGGGTACACTCCAACTTACTTCTCAAAGCTTCTACCACAATCATTAGAAACACAGGAAATTTTATACCTTCATAAAGGCTGCCCGGAACTTCACCCAGTGCACTTGGTTAAAGCATCAATTTATCTCAGCTTCATGTTTCTTTGATTTCTTAAATTTCACTTTGTTTTATGATATACTTTCAGGAATAATACTTTCTACCGACAGGTTTTTCTAAAACAAACTTTCAGAGCTTCTGTGACTCAATTCTTTGTTTTCCTATAAATAAAAACCAAAATTTCTATGAAAGCTTATGTAGAAGATAAACAAATGGATAAAGAGTCTTAGAAACAAGATTAAACAATATAGACATTTTCCCACAGTGGAGGTGAAGAATTACAAAAAGGAAAATCAAAGTAACTACTTACATGTTTCTAAACTGCTTTCATTTTTTTAAAATAAACATCTAATGGATATGTAACAAAATGAAGTGAAAATACCAACCCAAAATAGCGAATTAGCACCATTAATTTTTTCATCTTCAGATAACACTATTCTCTAGCTTTTAAAAAAAAATATTTAAAATATATTCTGTTGACATTTGTTGAGGGGAAGTGTCATTTTAGATTTAAAGAATGGTACATATTCGTTGCCTGTTGGAGCTCAGTCAGTGCAGCCATACTTCAAAGGAAAAATTTCCATTCCATTTCTGTACCATTGCATTCATTTGCAAAATATAATATCTCCTGTTTTTGTGTTCTGTCTAAATGGGTCACTAAGATTCTAAAATAGGATGCTGACATTGGGGAGATGATAAGAAATATGGCTTTGAAAATAGGCTGTGTTCAACAGAATTCTTAAGACAAACACAGAACACAAAGCACAGTCTATGTACATTTATTTGGTGGTAAGCATCTTACAAATATGAGCTGTCAAGCAGTGCTCGGCCAGCGTCCCCGACTCTGACTTTCAGGGCATGGGTACAGAATGTACACTGAAATGGTTTACAAAACTTCAAAAACAAGTTGCTGCTGAAAAGAAAATACTGAATATTGAATGAATTGCCGTTCAGTTCCTTGGTGGATTATAGGTATTAACATCTTCCTTAAGCTGAACATAGTTGTATACATAACACTCAGTATGAGATTTACAACAGAATCATTAAAACAATTTGGGTGAAACCCCATTAAAACAGTCAAACTCCAGGAAACAATTTCTATATTTCCAAAGGGCTATTTAAAGAAAGGTTTAAAGTAGCTCTTCCTGAATAACGCACACAAAATAGCTAAAGATGAGAATTGGGGGGGCGGCGTGTCTCAATTCTTTCTCGTAAAGCAGCACCCTCCCCACCTCCAAACACTAACTTAAGAATGGACTAGTACATACAATTGGGGAAAGGAAAGGTTACAGTGTTAGACACCCTCCCAAAAGTAGCAAACATTCTCTTATGTTTACTGCCCACAGACACAGGTCTTCGATCTTTTCCCCCCTTAAGTTTGGCACCAATCAATCACATAACTTAATTCACAGAATATACAATGCAAGATATCTGACCCTACTGAGACAGAAACTACATAGGCGCCTGTGATGGCAAGAGAAAAAAAAATTGGTTACTACCACTTTGGGTAGCCAGAACCCTTTGTAGATATTGAGACATGCACGCGTTCACTGCGACTTTCCATAGGAATTACAAATCATATAGGATTCGTTAGGGTCTCCAGAGTTTTGAGGCAAAAAAAAAAAAAAAAATCCTATTTTAGTGGGGAAAGTGAGAAGGATTTAAAGCTGACAGTCTTTGATTGCGAGGGTTTATACCATATACATACCTGCTCTAGAGAGGGATTTTACGTTTCACTGTCCGCTCCTCTGGCGGAACATAGACTACTAGGAGAATTTTAGGTGACAAAACGTAGGAAAGAAAAGTAAACCTGCAAGTTGAAGAAAGCCCCACAGAAATTCCCATGATCTGTTTGCTCCAAGGCCAACCTTGAAATCTTCCTGGTCTCTTGGCCCTCAGCAGCCGGGCCTCAGTGGCATTTGCAGCAACAATACCTGCCGACTTTCTGAGGGGTGGTACTTATTGATGTGCCGGGTCAGCCCCGGGGAGCTAAAAAAAGTGGACGGGCAGTGCTTGCATGAGAAAATTTGCTGAGCACTCCCGTCAGATGCCCCGCCTGGGCCAGGCGTTTCGGAAGGAGCCCCTGCCAGAGCGGGCAGAAGCAGCTCCTCGCGGACAGCATGCCACAGCCGATGTTTCTCCCTGATATCTGCGGACGGGAAGTGCGCCCCACACAACGGGCAAGCGAAGGCAAGTGGAGCACCGCGTTCGGAGCCAAAACCCGGGGCTAGCGTACGGGCCGAGCCTGCCTCATGAGTGCCCAAGTGCTTACGCAGATAGGCTTGGCGACGGAACTTTTTGTGGCAATATGGACACACGAAGATCTCGGGTCCCCCGCCACCACTGGTACTGCCTGGCACGGGCACCCGGCGCCCAAACACCCCCTCTGTATAGGGACCCTGTGGCAGCGGTGGCTCCGGGTGCATCAGCACCTGGAGGCCCTGGCGCAGGGCGCTGTCCTGGTGCTGATCTGCCCCGGAGCTGTCCCTGGCTTGCGGGTGCTGATCCGCAGTTCGCTCAATCCGGCTATTCTCCTTCCCCTCCGCCAGAAAAGATGCAATGGCACCGGATTCCGGGGAGGACGAAGACGACGACGGAGGCGGCTTCCCGTCGGTAGAGGAGACTGTGGCAGCGTTTGCAGCTGCGGGACGTGGCTTGTGCCAGCGGCGATGGGAAGCAAGGTTCGCAGGACAGCTGAAGACCTTGTCGCACTCAGGGCAGCGGTACTCGACGCGCACAATGCGGGAGCATCGATGCTGGGCCAGTGCAAAGGGGTCTGCGTACTGTTCCTTGCACAACTGGCAGATGAACTCTCCCAGCAGCGTGCGGCTGCCCCCCAAGCCCTGGGACGGCGCCCCGGGCTCCTCTTCCTTGATCTTCAGGCCCAGAACAGGGGACGTGGTCACCTCATCAGCAAAGCTCAACTTCCTCATAGCCTTTGGCTTCTTGATTCCCGCGACCGCAGTTCCCGAAGTGCAGCCCGGAGGTATCTTGGCGCGGCGCTCGCCACCGGCGGCCCGCTTCAGGCCGTGCAGGGTGGCCGAAAGGGGCGCGGGGTCCGGCTGAAGCGCGGGCTCTGGGAACGGTGCCCGGAGCGGCAGCAGGAACTGCTCCCCTGAGGTCGGTGCGGCTGCTGGCGCCGAGCAGGAGAAAGCGGCCACCGCGGCGGCACCCCCGGGAAAGGACTCGGCAGAGACGGGCGAGCTGAGGCAGCGCTCCAGGAACGCCCGACGCAGCTCTGTGCCCACTGGCTTCGTGGGACTGGGGCTGGGCCCGGACCCGGGCCTAGGACCCTCCCTGCCATCCGCCCTCCTCTCTGCACCTTCCCGCCCCCCAGCCCCTGGGCTCACCCCGGCCACCCGACAGGGCGACCCCGACAATTCCCGGGCCGCCTCCGCCGTCAGCCCCTTTCCGGGCTCCTCCTGGGTGAGGGACTCCACATCTGGCAAGGAGGAGGTAGGAGCCTCCTCCAGGAAGGGCGGCGCCACCTGGGGGCCCAGCAGAGGGAAGACCCCCTGGGCTAGGCGCACTCGGTACGAGCCGCCTGTCCGTTTAGTTCGCTTCACCAGGAAGCCTCTTGGCATGGTCTAGTCAGGAGCGCTAGGGTGCAAGAGAAATGGAGGGGCACGGGGGCCGAGAGCGGGCAAGCACAGTAACTACCCGAGCCTCGCCGCGGCGGTCATGCCGGGGCTGTCTTTATAGCTGAGACGCGGCCCACGGCCCCGCCGACCGCCTCCGGGCTGACCCAGCCAATCAGGAGTGGGAGCGGGCGCCGGGGGCGGGGTTTTCTCTTGGTGGAGCTCTCGGGAATAGCAAACCCGGCTGCGGCGCAAGTCTCAGCCCCGCCTCACAGCGCCCCGAGGGGCCCTCGTGCCATGCTGGGGCCACTGCCCCCTGTCGCCCTGAGATGAAGGCGCAACAAGGTAAGTCCAGATGTGAGGGAGCTCGGCACTCCCCACCGCGTCCAGGGACCGTCCCAGCAGGGAGCTGGGCAGAAAGGCCACCTCAAGATGCCCACCGCGGGCTGGGGCTCGGCTGCCCCCCACGCGTGGGCCTCTGACTGAAAAGCTCCCACCCTGCGGAGGACAGGCAAGGGGAAGGGGCAGTGGACAAGAGGGGCGGGAGGGGGGGACCGCGGTGTAGGGATCCATCAGGAAACGGGTTAACGTCCTCAGCCGGTATTGAGCTGATGAGAAGCTGCGATAGAGTGGCAGGGCGGCTAAATCCACCGCCCTGTGCCTACACTTGACGGTGGGAGCACGTCTGCCATCCAGTATCGATCGGGACTGCGCGCGTCTGTGATACTATGAGAATTCATCTGGGAAGAAGGGCTCTCAGTGCGGGAGATCGTGCGTGCTGGCAAGCCTCTGGAGCTCAGGACGCCTGCACGTTTCCGGGCCCTGGTCCTCCGGGCTTTAAGTGCCCCTCCCCGATGGGAATAGGAGTGAGGAGAGGAAAGTAGGATCTAATTTTCGACTCTCCTCACATAAAGTGGTTTCTCTGTTCACACTTTCCACTTGTACTACCTAGAGACATGACTTAATGCCTAACTGACCTGTTTAGCATGGAGCAGATCGAGTGAGAAATGCTGGTGGGATCAGCATTACATCTGCTTCCCCGTGAAAGAATAAGTGATACTTTACAAAAGGTGGACCGACTCAACAGATTTTCATCCAGCACCCTGCAACGTGCCCAGCACTGTTTTAAGAATGAGACAAAATTTGAAAGTTTTTAATAATAGCTGAACTGTGAAATAATTAGGCAATATGACAGATGTAAAGTGCCTAAATCCATAATATAGATACGTACAATGTGAAAACAGAAAGGGGAAAACTATGTGTACAAGTCTCCTTACAAAACCAAATTGTAGAAAAAGACTGAGGGAGGTGTTTTAAAAGTAGACTAAAATATAACAGATCTAGACATCAGTAAAACATTGTCTTCTTTCTAGCAAATGAAGTATTTTTTACAAGGAGAACATTATTTGGGAGAAGATTTGGAAGTATTTACATATTAATCATTGACTCTGTTTTAGGCATTCTGCTTAAGTAATCTCTGATCTTCACACACACACACACACACACACACCAGGAAGGAGATATTATTGCTTTCTTTTTTTGGTGAGGGGGTTAAGCCATAGAGAAGTTAGATAAGCGGCAAAAGTCATGCAGAGCTCAGATTGAAACACCGTCTGGCTAATCCTAAAACCCATACTTTCCACTACTACACCAATGACTTCAAACTATTTTTTCCTTAATTACATCCCACAATAATAAATATGTTTTAAAGTGCACACATATAACTGAAACAAAAGTTTCACAAAATAATACTTCCCTTAAATAGGTGCAGTGCATTCTCATTTTCTATTTAATTCTATTGTATTTTGTTTTTTTAAATACTGGTCATAGCGAACAAATTGATTTCGTAACTCACTAATGGATTAGGACCCACAGTTTGAAAAACACTCTCATTGTGTTTTTCCCATTAAATAGCATGAAATCATATAAAATTAAATAAACCTATACTGTATAATCAAAATTAATATTCTGAATCACTATTTAAAATATCTGAGTCCTTTAATAGTGCTGGTAAACTTCATTTCCCAAATTGATCATTTAAGACATATCAGCTTATGTTTGACTTCTAACTCAAATTCTCAATTCTCCTTTCCTTTTTCCTCATAACCCAGACATATCGTATGGTGTGGACAATCTGATGTAAGAATTTTAATACTTTAAGAAAGCCCCTTTTCCAAAGGGGCTTTTCCCCAGGGGCATAGTACTTTGTAGGGATTGCTGTCAAATATTTTCTACCAGATCCAATAGCTCTCACTTTCCCTTCCCCTCAAGTGCAATTTGATAATAACCTTTCTAGAAATTAGTGTAACAATGTATATCAGGAGCTTTAAAAAAAGATGTATAGGCCGGGCGCGGTGGCTCACACCTGTAATCCTAGCTCTCTGGGAGGCCGAGGTGGGCGGATTGTTTGAGCTCAGGAGTTCGAAACCAGCCTGAGCAAGAGCGAGACCCCCGTCTCTACTAAAAATAGAAAGAAATTAATCAGACAACTAAAAATATATAGAAAAAATTAGCCGGGCATGGTGGCGCATGCCTGTAGTCCTAGCTACTCGGGAGGCTGAGGCAGAGGATCGCTTGAGCCCAGGAGTTTGAGGTTGCTGTGAGCTAGGCTGACGCCATGGCACTCTAGCCTGGGCAAAAGAGTGAGACTTTGTCTCAAAAAAAAAAAAAAAAAAGATGAGGAAGAGAAAGAATTTACATGCATACTTCCTACTTGGATATAAACTTAGATGATCCTTCAAAATACAAACACTTCTTTCTCTATTTTCTCACTTAGAAATTGTAATAGGGCAGTGCCTGGCCTGATTATGAAATCCTTGTTTTATCAACATCCTTTCTCTTGACAATGACGTTTTCTTCCTTTTAAACACTCAGGACCTTCATCTGTGCTCAGTTGTAATTTTTTAAAAATTTACACACATTGGATTACCTCTCAAACTATTTACATTTTGTGCTTTCTATCTCTAATTATGGAATAAATTTGATTTAAGTTCAGAAATTTTGAGACAAAAGGAATCAGGACATTTTTTGAAGAGAGAGGAAATTATTCTTGCCCTGAAATCATAGTGTGTATAAGAAAGGCTGGGATGGCTAACCTACTTTTTATCACTTGAATATCTGGAGAATTACTCAGAAGGAACTTTATTTCTTCTGTTTCTCTGCCCCCTTACCTCCACTTAGACATTTCCTTGTAAAAGGTTAACACCAGCTATAGCTACTAGAGGACTATTGTTCCCAAGAACTTGAAAGTCAAAGTCTCTCACAAATCTACAACCAAACTCTCGATTTCCTCTCCTAAATTTAATCCCCATCTCAGTTTTCCTCATCCCAATAAATGGCACCTTCATTCAATTAGCTGCCTCAGCCAAAACCCAAAGACTTTTGGCTCACGCTAAACACCTCATATTCAATCCATTAGCAATCCTTATCAAGCTCTATCTTCAAAGCATTTCCTGAATCTGAATACTTCTCAAATTCTCTACCACTGTACTCTGGTCTCTTGCTTCCACCCTTGCCCCCTGTCATGTATTTTTTATTCAGCAGCAACATGGATCCTGTTAGAATTTAAATCTGACCATTTCACTCTTTTGCTCAAAATCTTCAAATCTTCCCACCACATTCAGAATAAAAATCTAAAGCTCCGATTTGTCCCTTGATATTCATAAACCACATCTCCCACCACTCTGTTCCTTATTCAGTCTGTTCCGTCTGTTAATACATTGCTCTCCTTATCTTCCTCAGATGTGACAAGCACACTTCCATCTTAAGGCTGTTTCTTCTGCCAGAGTGCTCACATCATGTCCCTTAGGATCTTCACTCAAAGAATAATACCTCAGAAAGATCTTCCCTGACCACCCTAACTAAAATAGCAGCCCTACACCCACCATCAACCTTCATTTTCTAACCCTTTACTCAACTTTCTTTTTCCTCATAGCTTTTCTCACTGTCACTATATTATGTATTTGTTTATTTGTTAATTGTCTTTTGTCTCCCAGAAAGCTATAAGGTCCGTGAAAGCAGGTACTTTGTTTTGTTCACACCTATATATCCAATATCTTGAACAATGCCTGGCATATATGTAAATGAATTGATGTCTAAAATAATGAGCCTTCTAGAAGTCATCACAGTTTTTTATTGTTGCAGTCTACAGACCTGAAGCCCAGCCTGCCTGAGCACAGAGGAGGAAAACAAAGTCATAAGGAGTTCTAGATCCTAGACATTTGGAAATCTTGGTGCAGAGGGATGAAAGGAATAGAAAAGTCTTTCTTGCATCATGTGACCTTTGAAGTCTTTTCTTTCCACCTCAGCCACTTGACCCATGGCTTAGATAACTCCTATTTCCTTCCTCTGAAGCCATTCCCTATAGAGAAAATAAACCCCAGCTCATAACCACAGATTCTGCTGTTTAAAGCTGTTTAGTACCCAAGTTACTAGCAGAACAGGAGCAGAAAGAAACTGGTCAGCTACTTTGCGGGGAAGACAAGACTGGGAAAAGACTACATGTGTGGAAAACAAGGAATTGCAGGCATAGGACACAGACAGCAGGACCCAGTTTATTGAGAGGTTCAATTGAGCAGCTTTAAAGGGAGATCTCATAATGTTGTAATCGAGGGCACAGACTTTAAAGTAAGGCAGTCTTGAGTTCAAGTTCAGCCTCACTACCAGCTGTTTAATCTTGAACAATTTACTTAGCCTTTTTTTTGGCTTCAGTTTTCTCATCACAAAATGGGAATAGAAGTAATTATCTCACAGGGTGGCTTTGGTCATTACATGTTATTATGTATGTAAAATATTTAGCACAATGCATGGCACACAGTGAGCCCTAAATGAATGGAAGGTATTATTACCATCAATAAGTGTCTGAGATGAAGGAAAACTATTGATACTAATGGAAACTATAAGTTCTACAGAAATAACAGAATCATTTATTGTATGACCAGCTTATGTTTTATACCCAATTATGTTGCAAGACAGCAACGATTATGCGTAGCATTTAATATGCTCAAAATGAATTTTGTTTCACACGGTTAAAACAAAATTCACAAAACGTGAAGGACAGAAGAAGGCAATGTAGTTTACTGGGTTAAGCCC